TTTTTCATCTGTAATTATTCTCTATCGAGAACTCCTCTAGTGGAAAACTGTTAGCTTCACCTGGTTTAATTTCATTAAAAAAATTTTTTTTTAGGGGCCTTTTGGTTTTTTATTTTTTATTCATTTGTTGAAAAAAATAATCAACAGGTTAATCTATTAGTGCAGCCATAGAATCTACAGCCTCCTAGAAGAGTGAATTGTTTAGCTGTTTAGTAAATTGTAAGAAAAAGTAGTAAGAAAATGAGTTAAGATTTTTAAAAGCTTAGCCTATTACCAAATATCCATACACAGTGTAGTTTGCATGGGATTCAAATGCACTGGTTCCTGTATGAGTGCCAGTAATCCAATAATAACGTATTAGTTTCCCATTGTTTATTTTACTTAAACTGCATAGAATAATTAATAAACACAGTTGTGAAATTTATAGTTTACACTATATTTAAGATGCAATTATTTTAGTAGGGCCCATTCTTTTTTACTCCAGTTCTCAAAAAATCACCAGAAAATAGAAAATAATGTATATTTTGTGAAAAATGTTTCACATCACTACAAATCGATTATTATTCAGATACATTTACTGTGCAAGAAAAAATCAGCATTTTGTCACTTTGTTTCAGTTAAATCCTCTGAAAACCTACAACCTATAGCTGCACCGGTCCTCAGAGCCTTTCAAGCTAACCCTGACAAGGGTTGCCTGTCCAAACTATTTCAAAATCTCACTCCAAAGTTTAGTGAAATGTTGGCAGCCCTGAAAACAATATCTGAAGGTGACGAACATCTTAGTGAGGGATGTTCAGTCCATCTTCTTATAGTGCTGAGGTCACGCATTAGTGGACCGCGGTCTGGATCCAGACCCACCTGCTGGCTAATCCGGACCCAACCTCATTTAAAACATTTATAAATTACCAAATGTTGTCCAACGACAGTGCCTAATTTCACTTGCGCCGCTTCTTCTGTTAATAAGGTAAAGCCTTCCGGAGCGCCCGGGGCCAGGCTACATGTGATAAATATCAACCAATGAGCTGTGTCAGTCAGAGTCACTGCGGCAAGCCAATTTTAGACACATCAGGCAAACCTTTGGCAAGATGGGCGATGATAAAGAAGGAGAAGACAATGAGAAAAAGATAGCAGAGAAAGTGTGGACTGCTGGAAGAACTGCAGTGAACTAGTGAAAGAAAAGTGTAATAGTGTGCTCAAAGATAAAGCTGCACAGTTAGAGTTTGTTTGGCTGAACCTACTGCTGTGAAGCAAATAAAATAAATATCGATCCAGACTCACAATGAGCACCTTGATATGTGCTTGAGAATGACTATGTCGCCATTCAAACCCAGGTTTAAAGCCTTGCAGGGCAGCCTAAAGCCCACTGCTCTCATTAAGCCAGAAAAAAGAAAGAAAAACAAACAGACCGTCAGTTCAGGTGTAAAATATGTGAATAAGGAAATTGTCTATATAACAAACTGAACGATTGCTAGATAGAATCGTTGTAGATTTTAGATGGAACATTTTTCAATTTTTTTTTTTATTTTTTTTTTTTATTTAGAAATTCAATTTATAACATGGTTGTATAAAAACCTCATTTTATTTTAGTGTTAAATTCTGTTTAAAGTTACAGATTATAATGAAACTGGATGATGATTTGGACCCCATTGATTTTTAATTGGTTACCCCTGTTATAGTGTATGATAAGAAACCTGTCAAGATATTGCCATCTGTTTTAACTAACAGGGTGGGCAGGAATAGCATTAGATTTAAGAATCAGAAAGACAACTCTGGAGGAGCTACAGAGATTCACAGCTCAAGTGGGAGACTCTGTCGACAAGAGTGACAGTAGGAAACCATGTCTACTGAAAGCTACACAGAAAGCCTGTTTGGAGTCAGTAACCAGCTATAGGAAAGGACATATATGGAAGAAGGAGCTGCCATCAGGTGAAAACAAATCAGAACTTTTGGTCTGCATGAAAATGGCTTTGGTGAACTCAAAGCAGCATTATCCTGCGGGAACGCTACTCTTTAGCAGGTTCATCACAACATCAACCGGGGACACCAAACCTGTGACCATCAGTGGAAAGATGAAAAAGATGTTTAAAAAGTAAATAAGGAAACACTTAATGGTATAGTGGAGGATTTTCGCAAATTTTTTAAAGGACCCACCCTCTCCACTTAAGAAAGAAATGCATATGCACAACCCTTTACACAGTCCAAAGAGAGAACGCATAATAAACGCTTGTGATAGCATGCATGAGCCCATTTCTCCTCTTGCACGCTCTGTTTAAAAGTTGCATCTCTCATACAAGCTTACTTTCCAAAAAAAGATTTGTAATCTTTCCACTATGTCAGACTTAAGTAAAGTGAAAAAGGGGACAAGCACATAGGACAGCCTTATGCAAACATATCACCAGAATGAATGAATGAATGACAATTAGGAGGACCACTTATTTTGATGATCCACCCGGAAATAGAAAATCCCCCACTATACCTTTAAGCCATTGGAGGATGAATCTGTCAAGAAACAGGGACAGATGGACCCAGTATTCAGGGAGAGACAGTCAGTAGGAAAGTTCAAAATGTTGATTAAAGAAAACTAAAGTGGAGCTGTGGCTCGCGGATTCTGCAGGAGGGGGGCGGGGCACTGCCCAATCTCAGACACTCTGGTTTAGCAGTTCAGTCCATACCCCTTGAGGGGGGTGCAATCCAGCCGATGGGCTGACAGCTGACGTGGCTCGCGTCACCCATAGTGTCCCCTGTGCCTCAGCTCTGGAGGAGTTGCAAGATGCCGATCCAGGGCAGGGATACAGGGCAGACAGGAACAGACAGATCAGATGGATCCAGATCAGGCAGGAACAGACAGGTGACAGGATCAAGGCTTCCAGGCAAAAACAAGCTCCCAGACAGGTTCAGAGTCTGACAGAGTTCAGAAGCGTGGCCAGAAGGTCACGCACAGAAGCAGACAGGATCAGGTAGAGATGAGCAGGCTCAGTGGAAGAGGGTAGCCGAGACAGGACGTGGAACCAGAACTTGATGCAGGAACTTTAAACTGGTCTCCTCCCTGGAGCCAGGCCTACTGGAATAAAAACGGAACCTTCCCACATATAGAGCCAAAAACCCAGAGGACTCCGCGGGGGAGGAACAGTGGACGATCAGGAGACGAGACAGACACAAAAACCCTCTTTCCACTGGCCGCCAGGATCCAGGACATAAACCCTGAAATAAACAGACTGAACAGAATAACTAACTGAAAACAAATAATGATCTGGACCCAAATGCTCAGGCTGAACAGAATATAACCCAGAAGAAACAGGTGAGAGGAATAAATTATAACTGAGGCAGGGAGGGAAAACGGCAGGTGAAAGAGATTATCAATTAAGGAGGAGCAAACAGACCAGATCATTACAGAATCACCTCTGACACAAGTTAACATGCTGACATTACCAGAATGAGCAGAACAAACCTGAAATAAATCCCAATCACAAACCCATACTCGGGTGGGAAAAGTTGTGAACGTGGTCCCCCCCAAGCTCAAACCTCCAACTTATTGAAAAGGTATAAACTATGCCTAAAGTCCTCCTCTCTGCAGGTAAACCAGTCAAGTAAAATGGGTTTCTTTCAAACGGTCAAGAGGTGTGGTCGAATGACAAGCTACAGCAGATTGATCAGGTTGATCACCATATAAACCATATAAATCATATAAACAAATCTTTAAAAAAAATAGTGATGTTGTTCATACTGTGTCTATATCTCTTTTGCTTTTGTAATTTGACTGGATTAGAAAAAAATCAACAATCACTCAAACTTGTTAACCCAGTCCTTAAAAAAGGCCTTTGTATTATGTATTTTAAATCGTCATTACAACCAAAATTACTATGAATTTACAAATAAGTTTCTGTAAAACTCTGAGTTGCATAGCAACCAGAAAATATTTATGATTTATCACTCTATAAACAGCTGCAGACACTTACGGTCTGTTTGAAAAGATATGAAGCTCCAACTTTATCATCTTCAAACCGCCAGATCCTGCTCTGCGCAAAATGCTCCACAATCTGCTCCACAATCTGCATCAATAGATTATCCTATCTGTGATTCTTTTTCACCTCTCCAGTGCTCTCCAAAAAAAGAAATGTGAGCTTTGAGTCATATGGTCTAGTTGTTTTATCGTGAATATTAGAAGATCATTATCCACAGCTGTATGAGTCTTCGCTTTATTGCGTTTACTCTTTCTCTCCAGTCTTGCAGAGTTTTTGTCTTCTTCATCTCTCAGTTTTCTTTTTTCTGTCCCTCTTCCATTCTGTAGCAGCTGAACCCCTCTGTTAGTGGCACATGAATTTTTTATGTTTTTGCCCTCGAGCTGGCAGTGTCAACAGACGATTGTTTCAGCATAAAAAAACACCAACTTTCATTCTGCCAGCTCATCTGATTGTCAGCAGTCTAAATAAAAGTTTGAACCTCAGTTGCTGCTTGTGTTTAATCTCTCTAAGGTGCCAGAGTTGCTTTAACAACTATTTGTGATTTTATTTAGAGCAAACTTGTTTTATCTTGGCTCCCTATGGCTTTTCTCTAGTTTCTGTCAATATATGGATAACAGATCCAGTCAGGCTCTGTGCTGCAGACATCCAAATGGTCTGTGGGGACCACGTTTACTGCCCTGCAGCCATTTTGGCCTAATTAAGATTCCAGTTCAGGCACAATTCAAGACATATTACGGGACCTTAAGGAAGCAGAGTCTGAAACACCTTCCCTTGTTGAGTTATTGTCTCAGTCATCTACCTTTGATGGAAAAGAAAATTGATTTTTTATTAGATTAGACAGTGGAAGAATGACAGATTTCATACACAGTCTCCATATCTAATATTCCAACTTTTCAAGATTCATTGGTCAGAAACTTGCACTGAATTTAGATCAGATTTTTTTTTTCTCACAAAGGTTAGGTTAATGGATGGATGGGTGGATGGACAGGAACTCTTGAATAATGAGGCAATACGCCGGCTGTATGACAAGCCCTTTAATGTAGATTTGACAGCACAGTGGAGAACAGGACTGAAGCTGCGTACGTTCAAACACATCCTCTCATGTCTTTTTATGCACGTGGAACAGAATCTTCTTGAAAGCCCTGCGGAAGTCCTGGTTGAAAATTGTGTAAATGATGGGATTCAGGCAGCTGTTGCAGTATCCGATCCAGAAAAACAGATCAAACAACGTTTCTGGAATGGTACAATTCTCTCTGCAGATCGCTTGTAGGCTGTATGTAAAGAAGAACGGGAACCAGCAAAGCACAAAAACCCCCATCACTACAGCCAGGACGAAGGTGAAGCGCTTCTCTCTCATCTGTGCCACCTTGTTTTTGGACAGAGACATCTGTCTATTGCGGACAGGGAGCGGAGATGGCAGCAGGAGGTTCTGTGAGCACTGGTCAGAGGAGGCCCAAGATATGGAGGCGCAGGATGGTGGAGGAGGAGGAAGTTTGAGTCTATTGGCTGTTCCTTCAATGTCCTTACCATCATCTGTTTTTCCTCTACCAACAACTCTGCGGGGGAAACGGAGGGTTGAGGAAAATGTCTCTTTCACATCAGGTTCAGAGTTCCTCTCCTCTAAATCAATATCATCCAGCTCTCCTCTTCTATGAGTGCTGCTGTTGCTATCCACGTGAGAGGAGTTGCGTCGGTGTCCAGGCAGGGGGCTCTCAGGCTCATACTGGGCCTTGCCTTTTCTCTGGCAGGTACCTCCAGCGCCAACAAAGCAGGTCTCGGATTGTGACGGCTGCCTCTCCATCACATTCTTCGCCACAAACACGGTGGAAGCTCTCTGCTTGGCCACGCGGTAGATCTTACAGTATACAAGGATCATGATGACACCAGGGGCAAAGAAGGACACCATGCAGGAGGAGAGAATGTACCACGTCTGGTTGTTGATAAGACACTCCTGCCTGCTCATCTCACGGCCATCTTCTGTCTCAGAGTCACTGTCTTTCTGGGACATGAGGAGAGGTGGGGAGGAGATTACGATGGATATGAGCCACACGATGCTGATCATCACTTTAATCCGTTTGGGGGTCCGTTTGCGGTTGTAGCTGACAGCTTTGGTGACGGACCAGTATCGGTCTAGGCTGATGGCACAGAGGTGGACAATGGAGGAGGTGCAGAAGAGGACATCCAAAGCCAGATAAAAGGAGCACCAGGTGGAGCCAAAGTACCAGTAGCCCATGACCTAAAAAGTACAAAGAAGCAGTCAGAGTTGGGTTTAATACAAGGGCTCTCAGCCTAAAAGTAAAACTTTGAAGAACTTTTTCAATCAGTTTCAGCATTGAAACATCTTTGGAAGGGCAAGTTCCACATTATGACTTTTTTTTCTCTAGGTCTGCCTATGAAAAGCCGAAAGACAATCTTTTCTCCCTAGTTCTATTTAAAATGACCCCACATATTTTCAACTTTTTCTGTTTTAAGATAGTCTATTGATGTAGTGGTATGCTTTGGACTCACTGGGATGTTTGAAAATAAGATTCCTCATAATGAAAACCATCTTGATCCCCCTAACCATAAAATACAGAAAGAGGTGGATGGTCTTGACAGGTTGCCCATCCATCTTAGGGTGCCACACACACACATAGCTTCAGTAAGGAAAATCTATATAGGCCAGTAAATGTAAGAATCATGGTTTCAGATTTTGGTAGGGAACCAGATTTCCTGTAAAAAACAGAAGAATAAGATGATAATGAGACACATTTCATCCTTTGCAATCAATCTAAAAACCTATATTTAGCTAAAGAATGAAAATCAGAAATAAAAATCCTAGGAAATCTGAACTTTATTTTGACTTGTTTAGATGTGCTATCATTAATAGCAAATTTAAAATATTTAAAAAATGCTTTAAGTACTCATTAAAGCAAGCACACCTTTGTAACCAATTCAAAATATATTTGTTTTTGCTTGCTTTTCATTAGAAATGGGAAAGAATATATCTGGGATTAAAACTGTAAAAACTGTGGAGATGATTTACCTGAATCTTAAGTTATCAAGTCTTAACACACTCCAATTAAAACAAAAGTATGAGCACACTTTTAAAATCCATTGCTACTCTTAAATTAGAAAGCAGTGGAGGCTCTGATGGAAGCAATTTAGTCTGCTTGAAAATAAAAATGGAGTCAATATCTCATTAATGCCTAACCGGCTGCAGATTTCTGTTAGATAACTTAACTTCACACTGACTTTAAAACAGATCCAAACTTATTTAAACCAGAAATCTATAGACTCCTCCAAGTTGTACTATTAGCAGAGTCGTTTTGTGGTGAAACAAATTAAATCTAAGAAGATGAAGCCAGAGATATCCACCTTTCATTCAGATCATAAAACAATATTAATACTGGGTAAAGATAACCTGAGAAAATACAAAAAAGTGTTTCCAAATAAAGATTTTACAGTTATGGAGACAGAAAAGTAACTTTCATTTAAAAAATGTTGAGATTAAAAGAACAACAAGTTCTATTTTACAAGTCTAATCCAGGACATCTGTTTGACCTGCTTAATGTGTATGATAAATAATTAAAGAATATTTCTTCTGTTTAAAGAAATATATTTAAAGAAACAATACTAAAAAAATCAGAACATTGGAAAAAACAAAGTCACTGACACCCACCAGTCTGGAGAGGATTACAAAGCCAAAGCTTTCACAAAAAATTGTCACAACATGAAGAAAACAACATGGTGGAGAAAATATGAAGCCTCCATGAAGTGGCAGGCCTACCAAAATTATTTCAAAAGTACATCAAAGATTAATTTAGGAAGTATCATTTAGTAATATCTAAAGCTCTGCAGGTAACTTGTCTCAACTGAGGACAAAGTACAAGATTCAACATCGAGAAAGAGAGAGTGGGCATAATGTTCTCTATGGGAAAGTTACAAAGTCAGAACAACTCCTGACCCAAAAGAACACAAACAGATGTTTCACATTTACAAAAAAAACAACATCTTATTAATTCCTAAGACGTTTATATTCTGTGGATTGATATGAGACAAAGTTGGTCTTTTTAGATGATGTGGTTCGTGTCTAGCTGACCTACAGCTAACACAGCATCTCAGAAACACGATGTTATACTGATAGATAAACGTGGTGGTAGGGTGATGATATGGGGCTGGTTTGCTTCCCCAACACTGAGATCACCAAGAAAATATGGATATTCCTCACTTTAAGAACATCCCAGAAAACAATGCGCAAACTAAAAACCTCTTTGTTGTGGAGCTGGAAGTCGCTCCGAAATATGTCTGAATTACTTTAAAAAAAAGAATGGACAATAATGAAATTTTGGATTAGTATGACCTAACGTGTAATATGAACACTCATTTTGGAAAATAATCCATTGTGGCTAAATTTAATTATCTTTTTTAATTCAAGTGTATTATTTTTCTCTATTTTTCATTATTCTTATAAAGCTTGCATTTGTTTAATCCATATATATTCCTGAATTTCTAGTTATGATTGTAATAATCTTCAGTTATGGTGTCCCTTTTTCTCCAGACCATCATTCCATCTGTAGCACCACCTAAAGATAGATAGTTTTCAGGTATGATTAAAATATTTTTTTATTACTCTTGTAAGCTGATTAAGCTACTCTTTTCAAAACAGTGGCTGAAATTTAATTATTTATTAAATATTTAATTTTATATTAATCATAGCTTTTCTGATCCTGATTCCTCCTAGAGACGAACAAGCATTTAGGATATTAACAAAATATTCCTAACAGAGAACATACTTTTTCACGCCGCAGAAAAAAAATCAAATTATTTTTGGAAAAAAAATTATCTCAATAGTCACAATAATTAAACAGAATAAAGCTAAGATGAGTGAACGTTTTGCACCTATCATACATAAATAATGCAGTTATGCATTCACTGGTTAACTCCAGTGACTTTTTTCCATAGAAGCATTTAATGTCCACTGACCCAAAATGGATGAAAAACTCAGTCTGAGAATTATAGCTAAGTAGGTTAGAAACTGTGCTTAAGATGGTAATCATATTGCAGAACCTGGCATTAAGGTTTTTACTCAAATTAGCATTTGAGAGGTTGACTGAGTCAAAGTTACTGGAGGCAAAATATGGTGGACCTGATTTGTACCAATCAGCAGCTCCTGCATAACAGTCCATCCACCCTGCAGGAGCTGCTTAACTGACCCATTATGTGCAATTGATTTTGAAATAAACTATGAATGATACTATTAATCATTTCATAAATTATTTAGTTTAAAATGATCTAGTCATTAAACTTGAAATTAATATTTAACATACTGAATGCACTGCATGAAGTAAATATCCCATTTAAAAATCATGTATTTTTATATGTACCTTTAAAAGAGCATGGCTTTCTAGATTTTGATACAATATATTTTCCTTTGTAGGGTGTATTTTTACGTGCGTTTTTTTGAATTTATTCATTAAATGGGGATCTGTTTAACTATAAAAGTCCACACTTGTAGCTGTTCTTGGTTCAGCGTTTCTTCTTCCATTTCCTTCTATGTTATTCTTTAGTTTGTGAGAGCTTGAGTCCCCTCATTATAATTCCATCAGTCCATCAACTGGAAAACAGTTAATTATAAGATGATTAACAGACTTGATAAAAAAAAAACCCAACAACAACAAGAACTGCAAAAAATAACCATAAGAATTTGGAGAACAAAGCTGCCTGTTTCATGAGAAAACGCTAATTGCTCCCTGCAGAGTTGAGTAAAAAGAACCAGGACATTTGAGAATAAGTGAAAGTCTCCAATCGATTACAAGTATTACCAGTCAGGGAATGCAGCCGACTGTTACTGATGGAGTAGGCTGGAGCAACAAAAAACACCAGCTTTACATTGAGAAAATAGACTCAAAAAAATCTTTGAGTACTGTAAACAGTTTTGTTTTGATCAAGTGCCACTGATGTAACCAGAACTGTCCCACTCTGAAGACACCCCCCCCTGGCGAAGGTTATAAAAGAGGTAACTTCCCATTTCAGCATCCTATTTTGTGGTCCTCAACTGCGAAAGGCTAGATGCCAAAGCGCTTCCAGCTGAAGGCTACGCTACGTAGTGAAGAAATCCCTCTGGAGAAGTCTGTGCTCGCTGGACAGAGTCAAACTGCCTTTTTCCTGCGATTTAGAAGGAGCTGAACACAGTGTTTTTAATTCTTCCTGTGATTCAAACCGAGTTAAACGCAGTGTCCCCTGAAGCCTGCTGTAGCAGAGACAAAGAAGAGGGAATCTTTGTTTGCCAAAGGAGCCGTTATGAGCCGTTAAACCTGCGGAGGTTGCGGCTACAAGCCAACCACCATAGCTAAAAGGGACACGTCCCGTGCTACCGTGAGTTAGAGAATTAACCCCCTTGCAAAATTGCCTCTTATTATTGCATCGGATTGATCAAAATCTCTTTAAGTTACTGTTGGACAAACGGACTGGACTAATGACGGGGCCTGCAGAATACCTCTCAAAGCAGTTACATTATCCTTCCCCCTGCCTTTCCATCTTATGCTTAATAAGTGCTCTGCTTGGGGGAACTATAGGTAGAATAGATGTGTTGGTATTTTATTTGAAATAAGCTTTCTGATTCAACTGCTGATGGTTTTAAGAGTTTTAACTGAATGCTAATGCTCACTTTATAGACAGAATGTTAGGAATCCAGTTTGTGTGGGTTGTGTTTTTGTCTTTCTCTCCTTCCACCACCAGGTGGTGCCCTTGTCCTTGTTGGTCCTCTCACACACCTGCGACTGGCTGACTCATCACTGAGGACTATTTGAGCCATGGAATGTCACTACCTCAGCGCTAGAGTGTTTGCCAGTTTTGTGTACTCTAGCCAAGCTGAGTTTTGCTGAGTCTAACTGAGTCTTTGTTTTCACTGAGCCTAACCCTTTTTGTCTTTGCCTTTTCAGCAGGAAGTCATCCTACAAGCTGGATGTTTGGCCTACTTCCCCTGGAAGGATTGTTTGAGTCTCACACTGAGCAGGGGATTAACCTGCACAAGTTCTGTTCAAGTCCTCCAGGATTTCCAAGTGACAGTCCGCTCAATAGCTCCTCAGGGTCCAACCAAGTCTAAACCTGTCCGCCCTCCAACGAATCTCTTCCTGTGGATAAACCCACACCGACTGGATTCTTGGAAGAAAGTTTTCTTCACTATCACAAGTTCCATTTTCTCTGTCTCTCCAAGTCATCATTCTAAATTCCCACGGATCCTGAACTAACCAC